TAGAAATATAAAATATAAATATATTAAATATATACAAATAAATATATTTAAATGATTTAATAAAATTTAACAAAATTTAATAATGTACAATTTAATTTTTTGAAAAATATGTAACGAGACATCTATATAAAAGTTCTTGGACTAGGCTAATAATGCTATCAAACATTATCCAACAGCTCTAACGAAAAAGTACCTGCATTCGTAAAGAAACTTTCGTTTCTGATAAAAATTCGAAAGATAAAACATGCTTGAGCAAACTAAAGGTAGAAAATTTGATAAAAATGTTTCGTTTCGTTATCATTAGCCTGAGGGTAAAGTTTGATAGTTCATTGATTGACCATCAAGTTTTACGTGATCATCTTCGCAGTACGTAAGAAAAATAAATAGTAAAAAAAAATTGTTATCTTTAAATACATAATAGAATTATCTCAAGTGTGAACAGAAATATATAAAAAAGATCAAGAATGTTTTTTGAATGATTTTTATATCTTGTAAGAAATAAAAATAATGAGCAAAATTATTTTTCTAATAAAAATTCAAAAATCATCTAGAATATATTTAAAATTAAAGAAAATTTATTAAATATTGTTCGATAAGAATAATTTTTCTAAAAAAAAGATTTATAAATAAAATTCTGTTACTTACAATAACTGTCTCTTGCTCCACAATTAAATCGAAAAATATTTACGGCAATTTTTAATTAACGCACTCAGCACGTGCAATCTATAAAAACTTGTCACTTAAATTCCATCAAATAACAACACATGACAAACATACAAACGTACAATTACCATAAATCAATCCGGTGAATGGTTAACAGACGTTCATTACATAACCTCACTTAAATCATAATCGAATGACAAACCTCTCTTCGATCATCGCCAATTTAACTTAAGTGCATATTATACGAAAGAGCCGTCGATTATCGGTGAAAAAGAGGACAAAAAGAAAGAAAATCATGGTCGATTGTGAGTCGGTTGGAGAGAGGCGTTAAAGCAACTTGTGAAACGTTTGCTTTCCGCTTAATTCGCCGGTGAATTCACCGCGCGATCGCACATTGACGATCGTGGGCACAGAATGAATATTCTGCTATCACGCGCCGCACTTCCCTGTTCCACCGTACCCTTCGCGCTCTCTTGTGGACGCGGCGCACGTTCCATCAGCCTTTTGTTATTCACGCGGCTCTACACTCGAGCGTCCCTTTTTAGCTACCCAAGCCAGCTAAACTATCATCGATGCGTTCTTCTTTTTCGTTTTCTTCTTCTTGCCGCGTATATATCGGAATAAGATATATGGAAGAACGAGATTTTCCACGCCTTCAATTTCACTTTTGTTATTGTTGTTAGATTTATGGATATATTATACTTTGACGATTATTTTATATTTAGAAATCGAGATTTTCTTACTTTCAAATAATTTTTACATTATTACTGGATTTGGGTTATTTTTAGTATTGGAGTATTATTTCTAGAAATTTTAGATTAGTAAAAATTAAAGTATTGTTTAAAATTTTTATAAGTCATAAAGATTTTTTTTACTTTTATATTTTTGATTTTGTTTATATTGTTAGATAGATTTATAAATTTATAGATATTTCGTATTTATAAATAAATTATCGATATTTCGGATTAAGACAATCTTTTGGGAACTCTGTTTATTAGATTAATGAAATTTGTTGAATTAATATAGATTGTTTTGAATTTTTAGAAATTTCAAAATAGATAATTTTCGAAATCTTTAAGATTTTCTATATCTTCGATTTTATTTTGTTTATTAATAGATTTGAATATATTAAGTATTGATATCATTTTTATCACTTTGTAAATTAAATTAATGAATTTTAAAAGATTCTTTTGAATTTATAATAAATTAAAAAAATAATTTTATAGAAGTCTTTAAATTGATTAAATTATTAAAATTTTGAAATTTTGGAAGAGTTTTATCATTTTATATTTTTATAAGAGATTTTTAATAGATTAAGTTAATGAAATTTGAAACTTTGAATCTCTTGATGATGTTTATATTTTGAAATCATATAGGTATA